TGAACTCTACCATTTGCTATTCATCTTTATTCTATCTTTAGCTGATAATCGTTGTGGTGGAGATATAACGAATTCTGATGGGGACTGGGAGTTTTCTGGCATAATAGAAAGTCCGAACTATGGTGGTTTTTACCCACCAAATATGGATTGCTCATGGAGGTTGGATGGTATTGGCTCTTCTGACAATACGTCTACAACTGATCAGACTCTTAAAGTTGGTGGTTACCCTTTGATTATTGATGTGGGCTGATTTTTGTGTTTTAGTTGGAATTTTTATCGTTTGATGTCCCATCTGCTTATCAATTCTCCTCGTCCATTTGGCAGCAACAACTGGAATTCCCAAGAAAAGCTTTTGGTCTCTTCAATAACATGGATCGTTAGTTAAGCTTACAAAACCTGGATTCATTCCCAAAGAGTTTCGTTTAGGTCGAGGACTAGCTTTTCGTCGCGTAAATCCATTAATACCATTTCGAAGGCAAATGGTCTATCAGTGCACAGAAGATTACCTTCATGTGAGATTGTATTTCAAAAGTTACAAATTGAATTATTGATCTGTAAGCTTTTAGTTGTACGCTGATGGACAACTGGTACATGATGGCTGCAATGCTCATCGACCTCCGCCTACGATGCTAATGCCTTTACCACAAATAGTACTGCGCTTCCATTCTGACGGGGCGACACAAGGAAAAGGCTTCAAAATTGCTTACAGCTTAGGTGAGCGCCTTTTGCAGGATGTACTTCAGGACAGAGCTGACAATATATTTATAGTGTGTGAGAAGAACCTCTATGGAAATGGAACTATACAAACATGGAATTACCCAGATGGTGGAAGAGCTGGCAAATGTACGTACATCATCAGAGCGGACCAGAGTCATGCAATCAGGCTTAGGTGAGCTCCACTTCTTCGAAACGTTAAACAGTCTTATTTGTAAGCTTCCTTAGGTTCAAAACAATTGGAATGCGAGGAGCTACAACTTCACAATGTTTCTACAATCGCGACTCATTGGCAACTGCTACGGATTACGTAGAGGTATGCTTTTAAGTTTCCTGCTAATAAAGTGATTTTATCACTCAATTTAGTTTTCTGGGGGAAAAGAGGAAGATAAGCAAATCAATCAACGTTATATCTGCGCTCGGTATCCTTTCGTAGAGGAAGGCGAGTTTATAATGAGTGCCTCAAGACCGCTGATTATCACCTATGCAAGCAGTGGAGAAGAGAAGAATCGTGGCTTATTGATGGAGTACACGACTGTGGATGTTGGTGCGTTTTTTTT